GTTAAAGAGACACACCGCCGTTAGCACGAAGAATAGCAGGTAAATGTGGAAAAAAGAACTAAAGATACATAAATGTAACCAATAACCTAATTATGCAAGTTAGTTCACAAATAGGCCACCCAATAAAATCAAAGGTCATCGATGAAAGGCGGCAGTTTTCTCCATCCTCCGCAAGGTTAATTAAACGAAGCTAAAATCGTATGTGACAAAAAACATAAAGAATAATGAAAAATAATGAAACTATTTTGTGAACTTGGAAAACTAGCTCAAATAAAATAAAACAAAATAAAGAGGAAATATTCGTAGTTTTAGGTAAAACATTTTAATCTTATATCTAACATTTTTCACGTTTCTGATAAGGCTTTGATTGACATGTTTATTGAGAGTTTGGATGTCTAAGACTGAGTCAGCTGCTTAGATCTATACTGAAGCCTTGCTTTCCGCACGACAATAAAAAGACTGAAACTAACGAAAACCAAACTGAACCTACATGCCTTCAAATCACAGACGCTAAAATGAAACTAAGCAGAATTAAAAACAGAAAGTGAAAGAAAATATTAAAATAGAATAAATCGAACCCTTGCTATTGTAACCGTGTGTTCTTGCGTGCCTGACAAAGAAAGGTAAAGGAAAGAAAGACCTCCAAGTCATTAACTTACTCGCTCCAGCTCCTGCAGCCAAATGCAAACAGTGGGGGAGAGGGTTAGCTCAGCCCATCACAACTTCCAAGCTATATATTCAGCGTTAACGGCGCCTAAAACACATTTGTGGCACACACATACTACACATTTATCTAACAAAAACAGGCACAATGATGACAATAAATGAACTAAAATAACAACCAGAAACATCAGGGTGGCTAAATATACGTTATATGTGTGTTGTACAGTGTTAGGAAAGCAATGACGCCAACCGCTCCCACAGGAGAATTGTAGAGGCCAAAGGGGTACACTGTATTTTAAACCCAGTGGGAGTTTCCCCCCAAAGAGGGACAAAGGACCCCCTGATGATCCTCTGTGGGGGGATACTAACACTGGGTTTAAATCTGGGACTCTCCACCAGTTAGAACTGAAGAAGCTTCTCAGATGAGAGGTGAAACGTCTTCAAGCAACTTAAAGAAGTCCAGACGCTTTTCTTTCCAAGCTCCTTAGACTACGATGACCTGGATGACTGAGAACCTTCACAGAGACCTTCTGTTTGGTTTGAGATTTTGGGACGTTAATATTTGCCAAGCTGAGACGAATTTCACTTCAAATCTCAGATAGTGAGGATGATTCTAAAATGCAGATCCAGAAAACCATCCTCTTTCAGCAACGTTAGAATATATTTATCTCTAGCGTTTGCCTGACATTTAATTTTTTGCTCACGTCACCACATTTTCCAATTCCTCGTGGCAGAGGAAGATACAGTTGTTCATTTCACTTTGTTTCCACATGGTTTCCCTCGTGCTCAGTGTTCTGTGTCAGTCATCAGTTCAATCTAAGCATTGATATTTTGTGCCTTAGACGTGCAATCAAATATGCAACTCCGAGCAGTATATTAACACTGATGAGTTATGATGTCGTGTGGTGTGTGTGTGTGTGTGTGTGTGTGTGTGTGTGTGTGTGTGTGTGTGTGTGTCTTACCAAAGTGTAGGTCAAATGTTCCTGCCGGCAAAGTCTTTCAACATCATTACTGATGAAAACAGATTGTAATCAGGAGAGGCTGGATGGGTAAATATAAACACACACACAAACACAGTACAGACCTGCATATAATATCAACGTACTGGTTCATGAAACTTCAAACGTTGTGTTTTATTTTCAGTTTCCTTTCATGCTAACTGCGGTCTATAACCTAAAACTAATAAGGACTCCAACACAGATGCTGATGGTGCATTTCTAATTAAATGTAGCTATGAAGTTAATTTACTCGTCTACGTCTCTCTCAGGGTGCATTTGTGATCAATATGAATTCATTCCAAGATTCGTCCCTGGGGACAAAAAATCACTGAGTTCAATTAGAAAGAACACGAGCAGCCTTCTAACCGTAGCTCTGAGTCTGTGTGAGACAGAATAAGGGTTTGTCTCACACAGAGTGTTTAAAGTGATACGGTCGGTGTCTGCGCTGCGATCCACAACCTCGCACTGCTCAAAACACTCTTGATGATGTCATTGTGTGGAGACGTCCTTAAAGTAGTTTTATCAGCACAGCAGCTCCACCTATAGCTTCTCTGTTTGGGAAGGGCAGCCAATCAGAACAAAGCTGGCCTAAAGGGAGGATGATCTTAAAGCCAAAGTGAATGAACAAAAGCCGAGCCCTCATCTTCCACTTCTGGTGACTGGCTGCAGAAGATTTGCTGTGGGGTTCAACGTAGCAGATCATCTGCCTCCATCTCACCCTGTCTCTAGTATCCTATACCGTCACACCAACCTTCTGCATGTCCTCCTTCACTACATCCACAAACCTTCTCTGAGGTCTTCCTCTTTTCCTCTTTTCTGGTAGCTTCATCTTCAACGTAATTTGTCCAATATATCCACGACCCTTTCTCTACACATGTCCAAACCCTCTCTGCCTTACCTAAGTACACCTCTTCAGCTGCTTGTTAATGCAAATATCCAATGAATTAATCCCATGGGAGCAACATACAGGCATGTAGACATAGAAATGAAAACCTCCTAAAGTTCAAACTGAGCATAAGAATGAGGAAGAACAGAGGATTTAAGTGACTTTGAGCATGACATGGTTGTTGGTGCCAGACGGTCTGCTGATCTACTGGGATTTTTCCCACATAGCAATATCTAGCATTTACAGAGAATGGTCTGTACACGTCACGCGGCTGCAACTGTGTGATGCTATCATGTATGAACCAAAAGCTGCGGGGAATATTTCCAGCATCTATGCCACAAAAAATTAAGACTGATTTGAAGGCAAAAAGGGGTCAAACCCAGTACCACCAAGGTGTACCTAATAAAGTGTCCAGTGAGTTTATATTGAATGGTTATATAATGCAATTTGAACAATGATTTCATATAACATAGAGATCACAGACAGCATCTCAGGAATATTCAGCTATGCTTTTTGGACTTCCTGTGTCCTACAATAAAACACACCTACTGTCACACTCACGCTATGACATGTATTTAGGCATCCAGTGAAAACTGATGATAAATTGTACACAATACTTTAAATTTGTAAAATAACACACAGTTAAAGAATAAAAATTAGTTAATTATTAGCTCAGATTCTTGCACTAACATGCTGCCTTATGGATGCATTGGGCATCCATTGTTGCAAGAATGTAAACTTTTAGAAATGACTTCTTGGCCTATAATCCGTCAAACATATGTCAAACATGCCTCTCGGGAATAACATCAATGCCTTTTGAGCCAGAAAGAGCATTCCTATCACCAGGTAGAAGCTGCAGTCAGTTTTTGGAAAAGTGACTTAAGGGAGTGAAAAACTTAACAAAACAACATCTATTAACTGAAGGCTGCGTCATTAAAAGGTTTTAAGTTGGGGCTTTTATTTGTAAGGTAAAGACCCTATGATAAAGAGAAAAGAGAGAAAACTGCACCCAATCAGATGAGCCCCTATGAGCACGCGCTTTGGTGACAGTGCGAAGGAAAAACTCCCTTTTAACCGGAAGAAACATCCAGCACAAGCAGGCTCGGGGCTGTGACGGGTCCGTGGTGAGGGGAGGGAGACAGGACAAAAGACAAGGTGTCGAACAAAGCCAGGGATTAATAACAAAATACAGAGGGGTGTATAAACACACAGGGCGGGGAGAAAAAACACTCATAGCATCATGGGAAGCCTCCAGCAGCCTAGGCCTTCTGCAGAATAACTGAGGGAGAATTCAGGGTCACCTGATGCAGCCCTAAATATATGCTTCATGAAAAATGTTTTTTTTTTAAGCCTAAGAGGGTGTCTGGTGCCCAAATCCAAACTGGGCTAAAGCTTAAGTCTCCCATTCTACTTTTAAATATCCTGGAACCACAAGTAAGCCAACAGTCTGAGAACAAAGCGCTCTACTGGGGTGATAAAGCGCTATAAGGAGGTGTGTGTGGTGGACCCAGGTGCGAACACAGGTGAGGAGACGGGAGTGAACTTAAACTGAAAGCGAGCCTTTATTTGGGCTGATATAGAGGGGAGTAGACAAAACATAACAGGGACAGAGAGGCAACTAACCAGAAACCTAAGCTGGAAAAACACTAACATGACTGAAAGGGAAAACTATGATCACTGTGAACAGAATGCTGTGCAGATGCATGGAAACTGTGAACCAAATGGCGTGACGCGAACATGACCTGCACGGAACCTCATCGTGCGGCTGCATGAAAAACAACATAAACCAAATGGCAAACACGGACTGCACAGAATCCTGAAAAACACTTAACTTGACCAGAGGGAAGGTACACAGACTAAATACCACAGGGATGATCAGGGGAACACATGAGGAAGAACAGCTGCCACACATGAACCTAATGACAGGACAGGGGCACTAAATACAATGAGCACCAGACCCTTTCAAAATAAAACAGGAAATATGGAGACAGACATGACACGAACTTGACAACAAGGACCACACAGACATGAAACATGACAGGTAGACATTACAGGGGGAGATGACAGAAACAACTAAGACACAAAGGACTAAACTGCAACTTAGAAATTAACTAGATGAGCTAAACTAGAAACCAAATTAATACAAAAGATACATAAAAACTCAAACACTGGGTCACACGACCCAGTACCGTGACATTAAGGTCTGTAAGATAAGTACACACAGATTTAACTGATCTCAAATCAACAAGCAGCTCGTTGCAAAGAGCAGGACCACAACAGCTGGGAGCCCCCAAATATCTGAATATGGAAACATAAATCTGTCTGGTTATCAGTGAGAGCATTAGAACACACACACACACACACACACACACACACACACACACACACACACACACACACACACACACACACACCCTGGCACTAGGACCCAGCAGGTGCAGCCCCGTTATTTTAGAGCTCCGTGGCACGGTTCCGTCGGCAGAGCGCCGGATCCACAGCACACACCGCGGCAACGTCCTCTGGGCTCAGGACGCAGAGTGAGCGGAGGCTCGCCACCACACTGTGCGCGTTCAAGAGGGAACAACCGCAAGTTATTACTGGTTCAAGGTTGGCGATTTCCCGCATTTGTTTCATTGTTTTTTGCTACTATTTGTTATTTAATGAGTAAGATACTTTAGACATGGCTTCATCCGTGAGCGGCACAGAGGAGGTGCGGGTGACGGCGTTGACGCCCCTGAAGTTGGTGGGACTTGTGTGCGTCTTTCTCGCTCTCTGCCTGGATGTCGGTGCCATGTTGAGCCCGGCGTGGGTCACCGCGGATGACCAGTACTTCCTGTCCCTGTGGGCGTCTTGCTGGAAGCCCGTCAGCTCCGAGGATTGGTCCTGCAACAGCACGCTGGCCACGGGTGAGAAACACGCTCATGTGCCCGCACAGACACGCTTAACACTGGCGGCTGCTGGCGTGACGTGCCACCATGTTGGCTGAAAGTTTTAAACCAGTTGGGTGTTGTAGTTTTAAGGGATGCTTCACCCTCGAAATCGCAGGGTTGTGGGCGCAGACAGACACCTACATTCATATTCAAATGAAGTGCGATGCACAGCTCTCAGGGATAACAAAGGGTCCCCGCGGAGAGTGCGCTGCTGAACCAATCTGTTCTGTGGGTGAGAATTATAAAACATCACCCCAGAGAGTGCTAGATGTTAATTACTTTATAATTAGCTATTGCCTGTTTAATTTAAAGTGCCGACATTTTCTGCATGAAATAGGATCTAGAACGGTGTGTTGCGCACTGCTGTCCAATTGGGAAATAATCGAGTACAGGAAAAAGTGAAGTCTCACAAGTCTGATGAATAAGACGCGTTGGTTTCTTTCTAGGCCGTTTGACTCTTTTTTGCTTAAAGCGTTTGCTCAGTGCGCCACAGAATGATGTGGGAATGTTGCCTCGCCAGGAGCGGTCCAGCTGGGGTTTCATTTGGCCTTTTGTTGCGATCAAAATGAGCCTTTGTGTGGGTTTCTTCACCGGCCAAGGAGCAGGGGCAGCTCAGAGCAGAGAACTCCCCCGAGATCCAGATGCCTGCAGATTAGTAACCAGGGAAACAAGTTGAAACACTCCAGAAATTTTCTCTATTAGGGAAAATTTTTTTTATTTATGGAGTCCCCTCACTTAGCTTTTTTTTCTAGAAGCATTTCATATTTCCATCACAGCTACTAATCCACCGAGAGAAAGGAAGAGAGAAGCTGGCTGAACTCTCAGAAAATTGATCCTATCGCTAGTTGAGTGTTTGTAGCGCTGTGCAAAATATCTACTGCATATGTAAAGCAGTGCAACAGCCCTTTATGACATGTCTAACGCACTGGCAGGCTTTCAAGCCACAGTTTGTAGATGACGATCCATCTTGCAACACAATGAAAGCAAAAAAATGTCGAAACTGATCGCACAGAGAAGGTTTGTCATTTTAATTTGCTTGTAAATGTGCCTAAAGCTTACACGGGTTTATCCTGCTGTATCCCTGAGCAGACTATCCAACATTCCCTGTCTGTGTTTCTGCTGTCTCTGAGCGGCTCCTGCGTGCTGACTGGTGAATTGCATTTTTGTTAGTCTGACAAAATGTTTTCTTTCTGTCTGAGATGAGTAACTGCGGGCCACTCTGGCCCCATTCCTCCTCTGTCAGCGCAGACAAAGTGCACTTTGGTGCCATATAAAGACACGTAGTCTCCGTGTCAGCTCCCAGCAGCAGCAGCATACCACAGTAAATGCACACAGTGAACTTCCCATTTCCTCAGGCTCGTGCTTGGCTAGGGCTTATTGATTTGAATCCCAGTAATCAGTTTCTAACCACCCCCTCCCCTCATCAACCTGTGATATTTCCTTCGGGCATTAAATAGATCCTGTTAGTCTGAAACAGCAGCTGGGCCACTCAGATGTTTTGAACTTGTTCGGCACAAAGTTCTCTTTAAACCGTAATAATGTGCTGTAAGGTAGACATCAAGTATGGCCTCATTACGTGCTCTAGTGTTTGTGCAGATGCATATAGGTTATCCTGTCTGTGTGTTTCTCTCTCAGACAGACACGCACACACATGTAGTCAGGAGCTGTCGGTGGTCAAGTATACACGCTACAGACTCCACATAGAGCCAGGAATGCAGCAGCAGCAGTGTGTTGATGCCAGGGTAGTGCGAGATCAGGATATCAATGTGGAGCCAGAGTGTGAGCACGTCCAGCTCAGTGAGATGCAGTGATGGCAAAGCGTATTAATAATGTAATATGTTAGCTATCCCATTCTGGGGGCCTGCTTCCTCTTTACGGGAGGTCACAGAACTGTGCAGGCCACATACCGGCTCTGTGGGACAGAGCCTCAGCTCAGCGACACAGAGGACACGAACCTGGAGCCTCCGATTGAAGATGGTGCTTCTTCAAACAGGCCTTCATCCTGCTGCCTTGAGAGAGTGAGGCTGAGATTGTGTGACAGTGCGAGAGAGAGAGACACTCGAGGCACTTCTGTGACACAGATCTTCCACAGTTGTCTGAGACAAAGCAACTGAATCGGGGGCCTTGAAGGATTTATTTGCTTAACACTTCAGCAGTTCCTGACATCCGTACAGAGGACCATAATTAATGCTCAGATTGGATCTTGTGTACTGTATCTCCTTTTCCATCTGTTATCGTGCGGGGCTCAGATTAATAGTTTGGCACTTCCTGCTCGTCAAAGCCTTTAAGCACCCTAACTCTGGCTGTGTCTCTCGCACAGCAAACAGGATCCGTTCCAATTCTGAGATGAGATGACTTTCTGCATCCTGCTGTTTTCATGATAAAGTTGCGCGCCGGCTGGGCTGCGGGCACCAAAATGACCCAGGAAAGATACAGTATCTCAACAGCGATGGGTCTGTGACAGCTGCGGGTCAAGTCAGTGTAACCCTCCCTCTTTGCTGAGAGGCAGCAGCAGCGAGGGGGTCGCTGTGGTTGTGAAAGCAGGGAGGCTGAAGGAAAAGTGGTGCTCTGCTTTTTGTGGGCTCGCTCCAACATCCTGTGGTGACAGGACCCATTTTTTAAACTCTAAATCCTGAGCCATATTTGGTCAGAAGTGGTTGATGTTTGTTTATATTTGAGCTGCTTGGCCCCTCCAATTAAATTTCCCTCCAACAAGAGTGGGAACTGTATTTTAAGCAGCTTATGTTCCGTCACTTTCTTCTGCTGTTTTAATGATTTTCTGCCTCAGCAGAGAGGAAGTATTCTCAGCCATGCTTAATCTTTTTTTATTTCCCAGACTCCGTAATAAACAATACCTCGTACACGTACTAAAAACAGACTAAATAAACTTTAGTCAGTCACTGTAAACTTTTCCACACTCTGTAATACTGAGCCGTGTATACAGAGCCCAATCCCCTTTATGCTTTGATGTTTACCTTTTTCCACCCACCGTACTTTAAATGATTTCCTCCTGTGTAATCAAATGCTTCATCATAATATCCTCCTCCTGTTTACATGCAGACCTCCTGTTTCCGCAAGTAAACAGTAAAGCAATGAAAGAGACCCCTAATCTCTAAACAATAACGTATATTGTCTCTCAACAGTCAGTTGGTGTCCCGTGGCTAATTTAGACTAAGAAAAACTGTTTTCTCAAGAAAAAGGCAAGGCATCTAAAAAAGAAGAAGAAGCCTACCATCGTATTTTTCTGCCTTTCACAGCTGCGTCTGTTTGGGGCAGACAGCTATTTCCACTCAAGTGTGGATGGGATGCTGAGGATGCTGCTGAGCAGTCATCAGCCGACAGGGATATACTCATTGTCAGAGTCACCTTTCTGCTCCATTGGGATCCATTACTGGACTCTTGGAAATGTGCACGTGTAACCAGGCGCGTGTTCGTGCCAGAAAAAGGGCTGTGCTCAGTTTGAGGGTTTGCATTCCTCATCTGCACCCCGCCAACGGGTCCCCGGTGGCTCAGAAACGTTCCGAGCCATCGCCGCCATCGCTCAGCCTCCGAACCACAAATAGTTTGTGTTTACACTGTGGCAATTCACCACCAGTGTTATTTACTTTTGAGGGACTGAGTATTGCACTGTTACTGTGGCTAACCACTGCAGCCTGTGACCTATTCTGCTGCCTCTGTCTTCTTCCCTTTATCCGTCCTCATCTTGTCTCTCCGCTTCCCCCCTCCTGTCAGCAGCGCCGACACGGCTCTCCAGAGTAACCTTTTTTTAGCTACCTGTGTCACTCTCTGTTTCAGTGTGATTTCACGGTTTTCCTCCCTCCCCCTCTCCCTCCTCTCTGCCCCTGTGTTTGTGCTCGTCTCAGACTGGCAGATCGCCACCCTGGCTCTGCTGTTGGGGGGAGCAGCCCTCACGCTGCTCGCCTTCCTCGTGGCGCTGTTCTCCCTGTGCTTTGGCTCCAGGAGTCGCTGCTACAAGCCTGTGGCCGTCATGCTTTTCTCTGCAGGTATGTAAAGAAAATACATTTTCATGGAATGTGCACAGGAAGACCCCAACTTTAATGATGCATCTTGCGTCTGAACTGTCTGTTTTTCTTGCAGTTGTGCTCCAAGTGTGCAGCTTGGTTCTCTTCCCCATCAAGTTCATAGAGACGGTCAGTCTGAGGATCTACCATGAATTTAACTGGGGCTACGGCCTGGCATGGGGATCCACCATCTTCTCTTTCGGAGGCGCCCTCCTCTACTGCCTCAACCCCAAAAACTATGAAGACTACTACTGAAAAGACAAGAGGAGAAACCTGGGACCTCACCCAGCTAGTGTCCACATTAGTAATAGCACCTCTGTTACACATCGCACAAACAGACCAGAAATAGGAAAAAAATGCTCATTAAAATTTTCAGGACTGGAAAGGAGCTCTTGTATTTGATACTGTGAACTTGTTGTCTGAAATGCTGTCCTTGCTCATTGGACTGAAGCCCTGAGGTCTCTTAGGAGGGTTGGCAGCGAATCCAGTCATATAAAGAAGCGAGGCACTTTCATTTGGGAGCGAATGCCACCGGTCAGATAATCCTGCGTCCCCTTTAAGTGTAACTCCAGTAGGTCTTAGTTCTGGACACAAGGTCTGTTGTGAACAGATGGATTCGCTGGCCCCATACCCGGAGGAATTGATGGACTAATTAGCCAATCAGAGAAGAGAAGGAAATGTAGAGAGGAAGACATTCTTTTGAAGTGATATCCTGAGGATGACAAACTGAGGAGGCACACCTAAAGAATGCAACATGCCACATTTCCCCAGAGACGCAACAACAACTGGAGGCTGGCCAAGCTTTCTTCTGCTGCCAGCAGACTTTAATATATCGGAGAAAGCATGTCACGGAGCTCCCTGGACTCACTGCATTTGTCCTGTCCTGCTTGTGTCTATTATAACTGGGTCAATAAACAAACAGAAGCTACCTAAGACAGCTAACACCTTCCAAACGGGTGGAAGTAACACAATCCTAGTTAATGACTCACTCACGAGTGTCTTCTACACAAAACCTGATTTACAAGATGCGATCAAGAAGTTCTGAGAACAAAACTATAAAAAAAATCCAAAGCATTGCCTGAATTTAATTTGGTCATCTAACGTTCAAAGTTACCTTTTACCCGCGACACTCCCACAAAGCTTCCAGCACAGCTGTTATTTTTAGATCGCTCCCTGGAATTCCAATTATCCATGACCACAGACTGCAAACATTAGCTTCTGTTTGAACCTGAGCCCTCCGTAGGGAGGACAGTCGCTGGTTTAAGATGTCCAGCTACAGGAGTCGAGCTGAAGAGGTTCCTCAGCATTTCCCAGGATAAACTGGAGGCGGCGGCTGGGCTGTGGAGGTCTGGGCATCCTTGCTTAGGCTGCTGCCCGGCCCCGGATCATAGCTTTTACACTATGGCAGATCCAGCATCAGAGGGCGATCTAAAAGTAGCAGCCGATCGTGAGATCACCTGAAGTCTTGGCTTTAGTAGACCTGCTGTGAGAACCTTTCAAATACCCCCAGTCATACCTTCTTTTTCAGGAAACTGCATCATAAATAAACTAATAAAGCTTATTAGTTACAAGCACAGCAGTAGGAAGGTAGAGGGCAAATGACCACGTCTGCTGAGCGAGTGTGCATGATCATACCACCCAGCATGTGCTCACAGACCTACCCGTGTGATGCCTCCTTATCTTCCCTCTCAGTAGGAAATGAAACGCTCTCAACAGGCACCATTAAAAATACATCTGCTTCCCTAGACTGTAGCTGAAAAAGGCAACAGACTTGGTTTTAGCGTCTGAGCGAAGGTGCACGCCAGAGTGAGACGTGCTGTGTACGAGTGAAACGAGGACCGCGAGGTAGACGACCTACGGCGGCGTGCTGTGGTAACGGCCGTCTTCTTAAAGCTCCTTTATAGCGTTCATGAACTCCCTCCTGCAACATCAAAGTAAATGAATGTGTGCATGCATTTACAATTCCCACTGGTCTGATAAACACAATAAACATGTAGTAGAAAATAAATCAAATCGTGCTTGTTTCATTTGGGAAGGAGAGAAACTCTGCACCTGCGCAGGATCAAGTCACATAGAATCAGCTCTTTTATTAAGTACAGCAAGTTGAGGCATTTGCACAGGAAATCAACATCTGTTGAACACATAATACAGGGTGGTAATAATATGCATAAAAGTACCAGGAACATACTCGTATGCAAGTGTCTTTAGTGTTCTTTCAGTGAGCTCTCATACAGAGCCAGATACAGTGTAAAGTCTACATTTCGCATTAGTCACAACTTATATACTCATTGCTTTCATTGTTCCACTGTCAGAATGGGGGAGCTGGAGGTCCTGGATAAAACAAGTGTCTCCATTTGTACTTCGGGAATGGGCACAGTGTAAACAGGGCAGTCATTCGTTCTGCATGGAATGCTCGCCAGGTAAACCACAGCTCCTCCTCCTCAATCCTTAAAGCGCTCTGACATCTCTGAAGCCTGCTGCGCCGCCGTCTGAGCCGCAGTCTGCTCTTACATGTCTGCCGCCGGAAGCTCCAGCCCTCCGTGGTCATTATCCATCAAAGAAAACAAAGGTCAAAGTGCACAGGAGTAGGGGACCAGAGCAGGACGAGAGGGATAAGTGGCTCTTCCTCAGCAGGTAGGAGGGGACGTATACTGATTGATGGGATGAGACCTCTACACAGATTCTGCAGACTGTAGAGGGGCGGGGCTTATAGTATCCAGGGATTTGCAAGGGATGAGGCAGGAGTGGAGATACAGCACAGTGCGTAAGCTCAGGTGTAGCGTGGCATCTCGCACTGTTCACAGCGGTTTAGTGCAGGGTGGTTGAGGAAGGTGCAGCTTTCACAGTTCCACTGGGCGCCTTCAAAGTCCTCGTCCGTCTGGGGCACCCGCTTCGAGGCCTGTGTCCCTTCTGACAAAAAGAAAGAAGGTCACTCGCGTGGTAAAACATGCGCATCAGTAATGAAAGTCTGCAACTCAGAGCTGCATTAAAACGAATGCAGGTAATCATTCAAGGGTGAAACCTGACAGAAACATGCATTTACTAAACCGCAGAGCGAATCTTACATCTGTCCGAGGTCCTGCTACACTCAGCAGCTGAGCAACAGGTGCATCGTCTGGCCCTGAAGGTTTTTCTCTACATCAGATATTATGATGCTAGATGAACTGCTTCTCATACAGCACCTTCCTACTCTACTCCTTTTGTCTATGCTAAACTATCATTTTATCGAATGTGAGTGAAGCAGCTCTGGGATCAGTATCTGCTATCAAACTGGAGAAGCTAAGAAACCACCAACTTTCCAATTAGTGGATGTCCTGCACTACAGCCAGTTCTACTTTTGGGTGGGTAGTGTGGGAAGTGCCGCATGTTTGTTTTGGCCAAGTTTAACCCCAGATGCTCGAAAAGGTTTCAGTGAGGCGATCGTGTAAGCTGTGGGGCCACCACAGCACCTTAGAAAAGCTACACAGCATTTCAATTTCACAACAGTGAAATCAGATTTTTATCCACTAAAGTTCAGTTGAGTCTGATATAATGTCGACACGTTGCCTAGCAACTAACTAACCTAAACTGACCTGATTTTAACGTTTATGTTCCTAAAATCCTTTTTTATAAAAGACTTTTGTTTTAATCTTAAGGCAGTAAAAACTCGTTTATAGTTGAATTACACACCTATCGCATCACGATGCTGCCGAGCAACCACATGTTTAAACGGACACATTTTTATGCATCTGCAGCACTTTATAAAAAGCTCTGTGTCATTTAATTTCACAGCTGTCAGCATGAACAGACCAAACAGTAAGAATTAAGACCAAAGTGAGACAAAGATCTGAATGAAGCCTCAAATCTGCACCTTGGTAAAATATTAAAATGTCTCTGACTTCTGCAGAAGTGCTTACCTTTCTTTCCAGATGTGGGTGGCACCACAGGACCAGGCTGAATATTGTCATAAAAGTTGTTCATTGCTTTGGGGTCAAACTTCCCTGCAGAGATCAGACAGAAAGCTTTAGTTTGTTTTAAAGAGAGCCTGTTTCAGCCAGATGTGAAATCAGAACTGTCCCAACAGGCAACGACAGACAGAGGCAGCTGTCACAAAGACTCAGCTTACTCAACAACTTGTCGGCCAATCAAACACCTGGAAGAAGACGTGCATCGTGCAGGCCTACTTGAAACGTCTTATCCTACTTTGGGAGCATCAAGTAATTGTTGCTTTAACTGTTTGATGACAAATAATTAAGTGTTTTACCATCTATAGGAAAATATTTTTTCTCAAAGATTTTTATATTAAATTGAAGCAAAGAAAAACAGACACACACAGAATCGTTAAACAACAAACAAGCAGGCTTCACAACGATTGTTTGAACTGAAATAATAGATTACAGATTAATGACACATTCACACATGTTGTGATTGCTTTTATCATAGCTTCCATCATCATCATCACTCCTGCTAAACAGATAAAGGATTGGAACTAATGTCCACACGCTGTGTTGTAGGCCAAGTGTTTCAACTGCAGAATCAACAAGAATCATGTGCCAGTGAAATACTACGCAGGGCCCAGAGTGGAGGTCGAGCACAGATCAGCCCGAGGCCTGCAACGCACCGGCCAGTCATTTCACAAGCCTGCATCTGCATGCGCTGCAGCGGATACTCGTCCATCATTCTGGACCCGACACCGTCTGCTTCAGGCCTCGGCTCTTTCAAGATCAGTGCTTTCAAATAAATCAGAGACACTTCAAAGCTTTGTGTGGGAATGCATTTGTGTGCGAGTGATGCGTGCATACCTCTAGACTGCAGTAGATCTGTTTCCTTCAGTGTACAGTCAATATCAATTTGAAGCTGTCGGTTCTGACTGCGTAGTCGGGTCATCTCCTCAGGCTGCAGACAGTAAGCACACGAGCCGGTCTGATTAGCCCACTCCCACACTCGCACTCCACTTTCATATTTATTAGCAGTGAAATCAAACCAGTCTTAACACCAGGTTGACCGTCTCAGTGATTATTTTCTAATACTCCTTAAATATGGCGTTTTTACAGGCAACATATCACCACAAAGTGGTGGCAATATATCTTAACACCACAAAAAGCCATTCACTGCAGGTGTTGGACCGGTGAGGCGTGTGCAGCGGGTGAGATTAGATAATACTGCACAAACAGGACAAACATGCACAGACAAGTCCTTCAGCACATCAACGAAAATGAAGTCAAGTGAAAACTCTGCAAGGTAAGCAGCAGCTACGAAGGTCTTGGGAGAATAATCAAGCAGTTCCCAGTGAATAAAATAATAATCAATAAAATCAGTGATCATTTCACAGCTTGCTTTTATAGCTTTGGTCAGTGAAGCAGCACACAAAGACTGACATGTAAGACAAGCACACGTTCAGGCCTTACTCGGGGGATAAGACTGGTGGAGTTGACTCGTCGGAAGCGTCTTTGAAGGGCATCGTATTCCATGTTGTTGACGTCACCCTTCAGCTGCTCGAGTTTCTGCTGCTCCAGCCGCAGCTCCTTCATCAGACGCTCCATCCTCGCCCGCTGGTGGAGCAGGAGAGCTGAAGGGAAACGCACCAAACACAAAAAGGCTTTTTTTAAAAAGAAAAGAAAAGCTGCAATGCTCTGCTGCGACTCCAATCTGCTATAAGCCTGAAAGTGGTGCAGGTAGAGGGCGTGGGGAAGACTACAATCACATGAAAGCAGTGTCATGTGTACTTAACACATGCAAAAGACCGACATGCAGCCTTAAATTTAAAAAAGAAAAGAAAAAGGCTGACAATCACCTTTTCTCATCACAACACGCAGACAACCAAACATACTTAAAGATGACAATCAAGCACAAAGCAGTAAAAAAATATCACAAGGCTGAAGGTGCAGCTGCAACCACACTGTCCAAACAATGAGCAGCAGAAGTTGTCACGCTGCTTAATAAACCCATGACAGGCGAGATCTTAAGTATTGCAAAGCATAACATATATAAAATGATATGAATATTGAAATATAAGATTTTGATGGACAACCCAAAACAAGAAGCCCTTACCTTGCGTGTAGGCATAGTCATCAGAGCCCGAGCTGGAACGTCTGGGCATTGGCTGAAACTGACTGGTGATAGTCCCCGGTAGAGCGGAGATGGGCAGGATGGGTGCAGGGGCGGCGTTGTGCGCCCCTTGGTCTACTATGTTGAGAATAGGCTCGGCTTCAGTGACGGGTGGTGAGCTCGGGGGCCTCTGAGCCTGGCCTCCTGGGGACACTTTGATTTTGAACGTATAGGCTGACTGCCCCGGTTGAGGGGACGAGGCGGGCCGAGGTCTTCCCTGCATGTACACCCCAGGGTGGTACGACTGCGGACCTGCACTCATTGCAATGCCCCTCGAAGGGGAGCTGGGCGAAGAACTGGTAGACATGTAAAGTTGTCCCTGGGGGTGAGGAGTGTGCACAGGTGAATTGCTGCGAGGCCGCGGACCCTCCAGAGTAATCTCTATCTGGTTCTTAAGGAGGTTCTTTGTTTGGTACGGCCTGTAAACAGGAGGCTGTTGCTGGGGCGGCTGCTGGTGATGGTAGGGCATGCTGGGAAGAGTTGGGGAGCTAATAGGGAGGAAGACATACTGCTGGTGCTGGGGCTGGTGCTGGGGTTGCAGCTGGGGTTGCGGTTGGGGCTGCGCCTGGACCTGATGCTGTGGGGAGCTGTAAGGTGAGCCGTATGTGGGAGTGCTGTAAGGGGACTGCTGATGTTGATAGACAGGTGCACCTGAGGAGGACCAGGGTGCTGGCTGCGGGCTTTGAGATGGCGAGGGTCGAATGTACAGGCTTGGGTTGGTGTTGTTTGCGTAGTGTCCAGGAGGGATCTGCAGAGCTTGTGGGACGTTGGGTATGCTTTGCGAAAGAGTGACTGTTATAGGGTTCATGGTGTAATGTGAAACAGAAGAGTATGTGGGAGACATGCCTGGCATTGTGGGTGGAGGGGTGGGAGTACTGGCCGAGCGGCTCTGATCATTCATGAAAAAAGGATTGTATCCAG